AAATGTGTCCCTTATATTGTACAGGCCAAAAAGAGGAATTCATTTACGTGTGATCTTTTGTCCCCCTCTTTCATATAGGCTTCTTGTGCGCATATATCAGGTTTCATAGCTGTTGACCATACCAATAATGCCTCATGCTCAGTTTTACTTGATCAATTCGTGTTCTCGAGAAAAAAAAATTTCACGATTCAAAAATCTGAGTATAGCCGCCAAATTCTTTTCTCAAAATTTTGAAAATTCTTTGTTTTTTGCCCTATATTTGCTTTGTATGGTATTTTCAACAAAATAAAGGCCAAAAACGATAAATGTTCAAACTTTGGATTTTTGGATCGTGAAAATTTTTTTTCACGGAGAACACGAATTGATCTAGTAAATCTTGGTATGAGGCATTATTGGTATGGCCAACAGCTATCAAACCTGATATAGTCGCACTAAGGTTTTTTTGTGTTCCACAGTGTTATACAAGGGATACTTTGAGGAATCATATAAGGAATTATACATTACCCTAGTCCACGTATATCCAAGTTCGTGTCATACAGCAAGCATTGACTACTTTTTAAAGTTTTATTTATTTGTTTTTGAAATTGACGACATATTTCAGAATTTGTAATTAATACGTTGTGTTCATTTTAGTAAATCCACTTTTTTAATTGTACAAAATTTATTATATACATACAGTATCGGTCATATCAATTAGCAACCCCATTTCAAAGTAATATTATTTCCCTCTTATGTTAATTTATTTATTGCTAAGAATTTGCAACAAAAGTAAAGTTGAATTTCTAACAAAACTCATATAAACCGAATTTTAAAACTTCGTAGAAAACTACAAAAAATACAACAAATTTTCAACCAAAATTCAAACTTTTTTCTCAGAAGTGTTAGAATTTTTTTGAGCACTCAGTTTTATAGCCCCTTCAATTTTAGTCTAATTATATGCAAGTTTGAAGTGGCTAAAAATTACCTTAGTTTTTTTAGAATCGATTAAAAACAAATCGCATTTAATCGTCTTCTATATAACGAAAACTTCGACCATATATCGATGGCTGAGTAGAAGATCGACCTATCTCGGCAGCCAGGTCGAAAACGCCCGATATCAGAAAGCTTTTCAACGCCCTATTTCAAAATTTGGCTGAAAAACGCCCTATTTTAGAATTTGATTGAAAAATGCCCTATCTCGGAACTCGGTTCAAAACACCCTATCTCAGCACATTTTCGAAGTATTTTTATTTGAGATAGGACTTTTTTGAACCGACTAATAATAATAAAATATGTACTATATACATATCTAGTTTCAATATAAAAAAAATTATGTACACCATTAATTGTGTATACATATCTAAGTCAATATATGTGATATACATGTACATACATCTACATACATATCGTCGTTTAAAGTACAAAACCATGCATCAATAAATTGCAAAACCTCGTATAGAGATAATGCATCATGGAAATTGAGTTAGCTTCATACGCACGCCGTTCAATTTCGGTTGGTCCCATACAAGTTGTATGTGCATGAGAAATTTTTGACACTAAATTGGCGGCAGAGAACGTTTAAAACTCTCTCTCTCTGTTCCATACCAATATTTCAATCATTAACTAGTATTTTAAAGTGTCATTTTAATAAACATTAAATAAAAGTGTATGTTTTCTGCAGCAAAATACATTAATTTTTTTTTAATAAAATCAAAACTTGTAAAATCACAAACATATGTGGTTTTATCGGAAGTTCACAGATGTAACGTGGCAACTTAGCTCGTTTTCATATTTTTCGGTCCGAAATTGTAAAATTTTTGTCCATGCCGCGCCACAATTTTTGTACAGGTGGGTCAATGTGCCTTGAACAAAATTTATATATACACAAAAAAATTATTTTATTTATTTTTTAATATTAAAAATTTCTATACTTCCAAGCGTTTATAAAAATATATTTACATATATGCACGAACGATTTTTAATATTTTTCATCCCTAAGCAAATCTTCAGTACCATAAAAGATTCAAACACATCAAAGTACAAGCAATGCAATGTTCAACCTAGTGCTACTCCACTGTACATGTGTATATGAATGTATGCATGTATGCGTGTAAAAAATGTCAATTCCAGTTGGTTTTTAACCCATTTAGCGGACATAGTTTTTTTGGTTTCAGCTGGTTGCAACTGTTAATGAAGCACAATTTTTATGTTTAATCTTTATGAAAGTTACATGTATCGTCGAGAACATGGTTACATGCAGAATTTTAAATTAATTAATATTATTCACCATACAAAATGAACGAGTATTGCTTTATTAAATGCAAACTTATGCGAAAATCTAAATATTTCGCAAACATGGGGTTAATGGTTTCGCGCACGTGCCAATCTGGTGCCGATTCGCAGAAATTGAATAATTTGTGTGTTGATGGGAGCGGCGAGGGGAAGGCGAAAGCCGACCAATCGTACATTTGTATGTACATATATATGTTACATACATACATTACATACCTACATATTTACAAAGGCATGTGTATATATGTACGTACAAATTTATGCGTTTGGCTTTTTGCATGAATAGAAAATTTGATTGCAGAAATAATTTTAATGAAATTAGTTTTTCAAACACATTTGTACTATATAATATTAAGTTTGTTAGTTAATATCGGTATTTTGATAACAAGCCATAATTTGTTAGACACACATACGTACATACACGGGCAATCAAAAGTGATTGCATGGTTCTTTTTTATAATATTTACAATGTTTTTCAAGTAAAAATTTTTTTGTTATATTTTTATAAAAATGTGGTTCATGCTTTAATCGAAACCACATAAGTCAAACTTTAAAAATTTATACAGAACGTAGAAAAATTCATCAAATTTTCATCTAAATTTTCTACTTTTGGGTACGTAGATAGATGGTTATATATGTAATTCTAGGGAAACAAGTGAAAGTTTTAAGCGGATAAAAAATCGCGTTAATTTTTAATGGTTTTATGCATATAACAGGTGTAATTTATAAAATATAGTGTTTATTTTTTTATTTTGTTTGCAAACGGTCTTGCGCATTTTATTCTACAAGAAATTCGCTTTTATGTATATGGTAAAAAATACAAGCCGTCCGCAATAAAAAATGATTAAAAATCTACGCGATTTTTTAGCCGCTTAAGACTTGCACTTGCTTTTCTACCGATCTATCATGCTAAAAACTCAGATTAAAAAGTTCAAAATTTAGACGAAAATTTGTTGAATTTTTCTAAGTTTTGTATAAAGTTTGACTTATGTGGTTTTGATTAAAGCATTAACCATATTTTTATACAAAAAAATAACGAAAAAATTTTAACCGCGCGCAGCATTTGTTTATTTGCATATGTGCATACATATAAATGCATCTACATAGGTACTATGTATATGTATTTACAAACATTTTTATGCGCTTGCCTTTTAGCGTGTTTAAAAGTTTTTTAATGAAGAATTTACTAATTGTTGACGAAAATATGGTTTACAAAATTTTCGCAAATTTATATTAGTTAATTGGAATTTTTATGAAAATAACGTTTTCCCAAAATTTATCCAGAAATTTTTTGTAATAATTAAAAAAGGTTTTCGATTTTTAATTCAATGAAAGGGGCATTAAAATAACTATCAAAAGTCATTTTTGTTGATAGATATAAACGTGCACAAAAATAATATTTCACAATTGCTAATTTATTCAAATTCTGTTATTTTGTGCCGCTCTGCGCTCACGCTGTTAAAAAATGGTGAGCTTCTAGAGCTATTGATGTTAAAAATTTAACGTGGTGAGCTTCTAGCCGATTTCTGATCTATTACAAAATACCAACGAGTAGCGTGTTGCTGCTTCTGTTTTAAACGTTCTCTGCTGCTTCTCTGTTTTAAACGTTCTCTGTTGCAAATACATTAACTTCAAAGCAAAAAGTCGAAAGTAAACCCAGCACTGGAAGCGTCAGATTGCGCGGAAACCGACACGACAGCACCGTGTAGTCACGATATGCTGCGCTGCTCTGAGCTGAAAATCCTCTCGCCGCACCGGCCTCTACACCAGGGTTGCCACTGACGAAAAAAAAAATTTACCATTCACTTTAGAAAAATCTACCAAATCTGGAAAATATCTACCAATAAATTTTTTATATTTATTTTAATAAAAACTATAGTTTTGTTATTTTTTTTTATTTATTTTAATTAAAACTATAGTTTTTATTTTTTTAGTTATTCCAATAAGAATTAAAATTGTTACGATTTGTATATTTGGAGCTTTTCGACCGTTGATTTTAAAGCAAAAACGTTGGTTTTTCTTTTCTGCCTCCTACGCGTTTCGACACATTATTGTGTCTTCCTCAGGGAGTCTATTTATTTTTACAAGAAAACATAATTAACAAACGTGTATACCAAAACATGTTTTTCAAACATACCTTAACATATAATAACATAAAATCACATTAATTATTTTATGGACATCACATTTTTAAATTAACACTTAACATTTAAATACATCAATACTTTATCCCAGCTGTTCGTCTATTACTCGCTATTATCGTTGTGTATGCGCAATTTATATTATCTACATCTTCTTTGTAATTCATTGCACAGTGTATTTGTTGCTGTATTCGAAGCCCTTCTAATGTCATCCTTTTCTTTGTTTTCCTCTCGATGTCTACTATTCTTGCATTATCAAAATCCGCTGTGTGCTCGCTTTTTGTCAGGTGCTGGGCTAATGCAGTTGTCATCTTTCTATTTTTCGCGTCTGTTTTGTGCTCGTTGATTCTGACTCCTAAAGCTCGCTTCGTCGTTCCTATGTATACCTTGCTGCAGCGTTCGTCGGCTTTGCCATTGCATTGAATCTCATATATGACGTTATGTTGTTGTTCTTTGTTTATTTTGTCTTTTGTTTTGGTAAAAACTGTGTTGAGTGCATGATTCAATAATGAAAGGTTTTGTAAGAAAAACTTTCTCTCGCTCTAATTTTATCAATGACACTCCCACCCTACTCCTAAAAAACAACAGTAATATTTCTTTTACAAATTGCTTTGGAAATTTTAAGATTTTTTTTTAAAAAGTAGTGAAAGCTTTGCTTTTCATTGAAAAAGCCTAATTGGCATCACTGACAGTTTCTTTTGCTCATATTCGTTGACAATTAATTTCTTTTTTCATGCGAATCCTGGTAAGTAGCAACTTAATATGCAATTTTTTAATAGTTATTGTTAATTTAAGTATATATTTTAATTGCAGATCCTAAGTTTATCTTCTATTGCGGCTTCTGAGCGGTGCAATCATTCATTTTCATGTGAGTATGCGCTTATTAATATGATGAAATTTTCTGTAATTGATTCTTGCTTGCAGGCTTATTAAGGTGCTCCCCAATATCTCAGCAAGAATTTGCAAATACATACAGGTAACTAAGAGCATTTTTTTCATTTTGTAAAATAAATTGATACATATATTTTTGTACGTTTTTTGACTTGTGCTCCGACCACGTATAATTAACCTGGGCCGACTTTCTCTAGTGCAGGCAAGTTGCAGTGCATATAAAACCAAGTGTTTTAAGCCAACTAAATGTAATGTTTTTGCAGGTTTTGCTGCCTTTTCGCCTCTGCTCCGGCCACATATTTATATATCCCGACGCTCTCTCGTGCAGGCAAGTTGCAGTTCATGTAAAACCAAGTGTTTTAAGCTAACTAAATGTAATGTTTTTGCAGGTTTAGCCTGTCTTTCGCCTCTCCGGCCACGTATTTATCTGTCCCGACGCTCTCTCGTGCAAGTAAGTTGCCGTGTAGTAATATGTGCGTATACAATATGTTAGTAGGTTCGTACACATGACTTCTAGGTGAAAGCCGAGTGGCTCCGTTTGGCTCACATGTGCACCACTGACATATGTACATATGCATCAGCATCAGCATATATATTTACACACTTGGACTCATACAATTAAGTCATCTCTATGACTAAACACGGAAACTTTTGGTGCGGCAATTCGAAGCTTGTGGGGTGGTAGGTGGGGGAAGGGGGGGTACACTGCAGAGCATAATTTTTGGCGCGTTTACTTTTGCCGTTAAGTCTCGAGTTTTAAACGTTTTAAGTATCGCTGTTTGTTAAGCGTCAGTTTCCTCTAGTCCTTCAAAGTATGATATTGCTCCGCATTGTAGTAAATACATACGTGTAGTGTAGTATACAAGTACATATTACAAATATTATTTTATTTAAACAACACATAAATAAATAGAAAACATAATATATGTATATAAGAACATGGTTTTTTCTTTGTAGTTTAATACATCTTTTTAACTATTTACTAACATGTATATATGTACATATGTTTGTACATATTTAAAATTCTTAATTTAGCAACTTGAAAATGCCCAAAGCAAGTTGTGTTTTGTGCCACAAAACATGGACACAAGAAGGCATCAAGCAATTTCATGTTCCTAAAAGCATAATAAAAAGAAAAATGTGGAGCGAATCGTGCGGTATCGATTTGAAACTCGGTTCAAAACTATGTGCGTTACATTTTTCCCCCGATGACTTCGTGAGTGGTACGAGTCTTAAAGAGGCAAAGTTGTCTGACCAAGCCGTTCCAATGGCAATCGACTGCCTGAATTCATGGGATGAGCCGGAACAACGTTTCGTCGATGCCTCAACGCAAACCGAGTATTTTTACACCCCTTTTCAAAATAATTTAAATTACTTGTTTTTATTTCTGTATTAGATCATATTTTGACTGTCGAGTGGCTATTCTAGAAGAAGAACTTTTGAAATTGAATGCGAAGATTGAAGAGCTGGAAAAACTGCGATCCAATTTGTTGTCCATTTTCACTGACAATCAAATTCGCAAAATAGAAGACCCTTCAAGAAATGTGCATTGGACATGGAGGGACATATCTCCTGCAATAGCGCTGCATTCTGCCGGACCTAGGGCATACACCCATTTGTACAAATTGGGATGGCCACTTCCATGCGAGTCCACTATAAGCAAATGGCTACAAAAACTTAAGTTTGACGATGGTATTATCCAATTTTCGCTTAGTGTGTTGCAAAGTGCGAGTGATGCACCTATTTCTGACCGACTCTGTGTTATCAGCTTTGATGAAATGAAAGTGGAGTCAGTATACGAGTATGACCCTCTCGCCGACACAGTACGGAGGCCATGTAACTATGTCCAAATGGTCATTGCAAGAGGGCTCAAAGGCTCGTGGAAACAGCCTGTGTTCTTTGCATTTGATTGCCGTATGTCTAAACAGATTTTAGACTACATAATTATTAATCTGCACAACGTGGGATACCCTGTTGTGGCGATTGTGTCCGACATGGGTTCCGGTAACCAAACTGTTTGGAAAGAGTTGGACTTATCAAGTGGTAACTCAGTTAAAAAATGTATATTGTTTGCTTAATTAAAGAACTTTTTTATTATTAGAAAAAACATGGTTTCAGAACCCGGCAATGGAAGGCAAAATTTTTGTGTTCGCAGATGTGCCACATCTGTTAAAGTTATTACGAAACCACTTCCTTGACGAAGGGTATTATTATAAAGGCAAAACGTTGGCCACTAAAACTATTGCACAGCTTTTAACATATACAGCAGCATCAGATGTGTCCATAATGCATAGGGTCACGGAAGCTCATTTGACGGTACATCACGCAGGCCGACAAAAAGTTAAACTTGCTACGCAGCTGTTTTCACACAGCGTTGCTAGCGCCATACGTTGGTGTTATACGATGGGATTGGACGTTTACAATGCTTTGGAAACCTCCGAATTCATTGAGACCGTCAACAACTGGTTTGATGTTTTTAATACAAAACTCACCAGCTTCCAAACATTTCCAACTAAAAAGCCGTTTGGAATGGACTTGCCTGAACAATTGGAAGTTTTAAACAAAATGGACCAATGCATGCAGCGGACGAGGGTTGTTGGGCGTTACTCGTTGTTACCGTTTCAAAAAGGCATATTTATGAGCAACAATTCCCTAAGAGAACTGTATCAGTATGTTCAGGATAAATACGGTCTTGAGTATATCCTGACATACCGATTAAACCAAGATATTGTTGAACATTTTTTCGGTGCAATGCGTTCCAAAGGGGGTCTTTTTGATAAACCAAGTCCAATGCAGTTTAAATACAGACTACGGAAATATTTGCTGGGTGAATATCATTTTTATAAACTGACAAAAAGTCTGCTTATATGTACATGTAGAAGCATATCCGTAAACGCAATTTTTATTCACAGCTCGTAATACGGAAATTCTCGCTGCGCGCGGGAACGTAGAACCGGACGAAACCGAGTGGCTCCGACTCGATGATTCTGCAGTGGAAAGGTTAACATCTTTCCTTCCTGAAACAGATGTCTGTGATGACTTCACGCTTTCCTCACCGTCGGTGCAAGCAGATAACATCGAGGCCCTTCAAGAAGATGCCTTAGAATATATAGCAGGATATCTCATGCGAAAGCTTGGTTTGAAAGAGTATGTCGCTAGTGAGCCTACGTATACCTGGGTCGATGAGGTGTCCAGAGGCGGTTTATTAAAACCAAAAGCTGACTTCTTGGAACAAATAAAACTTTTGGAATCAGTATTTATGAAATTCAATGGGACGACGGTTGCTGATGTACCATCGTACATAGAGAGACTTATTTCATGTACCGATCATTTAAATATAAATATAGACGTGAAAAGGCTATTTTTAAAATGTAGAATGCACTTT